TTTTCATTTCCAGCCCACAGCAAATTAGAAGCACGTTGAAAGCACACGCACCACAGGGAGGGGTCGCTCCCTCTCGCACTCGCACTCCCAGTGTGTCCCTGGGACCAGCAGCAGCATCACCTGGACCTTAGCAGAAATCTAAGCTCTCGGTCCTCAGCCCAGACCTACAAGCCAGAGCGGCGGCTGAGACACAGCTCTGTACTGTGGGTCACCGTTCAGCTCTGGCTCGGCTATTCTAAGCACAAGTGGGAACAAAAGTGGGGTTGTAAGGGCAGAGAGGGCTTGTTAGTGAAGTGTTCTAGGGTCACCGTGACCTACAGCCTCTCCTCTCTATTCACTTGGGGTTCACAGAATTTGGTATTTCTAGGTGCATGGAGCGTGAGGCGGGGTGAGGTGGAGGGAGTGGGTGTGTCTTCAGGCCTGCCCTCTTTCTCTCATTGGCTGTATGACATTGGGTAAATGACATGACTTCTCTGCACTTCACTTCCCGCCCATCCGTTAAAACACGATTGATTTTTCTTGGCCCTTCTCCAGTTCTTAAGGACTCCAACTTCATGCTAGTCCGTTAGCTTAATAATGTGGAAAGCAATGGGAGGAAAAGTTAAGCTATCTATGTTTATATAACATTGGATGATATGTAAACGTATATATAATCTGTAGTCTACTATATTAACACACATTACATATTTTATATTATACGTTTTATATTACATTATATATTGTACGTATAACATATACATAATACATAATATAAGACAATATTGCCCAACCTTACATTGCCAGCAGATGGATAGGCTCGCAGTTAGGAAGGTTTATTTCATCACCTGCGAGGTGCTTTAAGGAAGGATCCTAGTCTCACTCGATACCATCGCTTTAAAGTCCTAATGACTTTGATGAGCCTGGAGCTTGGAGATTAGACTGTTAGACCAGCCTAGCACACATAAGTTTCTTTTCCATCGTTATAAAGCAGTAGCAAGTGAAGGAAAGAAAAATCCAGGTTTTCATATCCAGATCCATGTCGTTAGTATGAGAATGACTGACAAACCTCTTTTGAAATACACATATCTTTTTAGAAGAATCATAATGTGATGATTGATAGATAGACAGACACATACACATGTATAGGTATATGTCTTTTGGGTATTATCACTTCACATGGATTTTTCTCAACTGCTCATCATGACAATATGCTTTGAATATAGACCTCTGTCATTTTTCTGCTGAGACTATATCAAGAAAACTAGTAAACCCATATCAGAAGCATGAACGAACATGTTGACTGCCAGAAAATCATTCTTGCTAGCCAAAATTTTCCAGGAAAAGGTTACAGTTCAGCTTTATCTGTTATCTTTGTTAGAAGATCATATACCTTATTTTACAGATCTACAACGGTTCCTTGACAAAGGCAGTTTAGTTTTCGATGAGATATGCATGCCTACGCAGTCTAGTTTTCACAGCAGAAAACGGAAATCTGGTCCCATAATCCGTCACAAATCCCACAGCATTTCGGGCACCATAGGGGCCGCCATTCCAGAGAACTACAGGACGTATGTCTTTGGAATGAAGTAAAATTTTGTGGATGGGGTTAACTTGTTTTTATTCTTTCTTTTTCTGTTGGCTTTTTATGACCCTACATATATAATAAAATTCTAATCAAGTACTTTCTTTAAAATCTGAAAATGGTAAGAGACCCCTGGTTTAGTATCCTTGTCCACTTTGCCTAAGATTCAATATGATTTTCAGTATGAAATCTTGAGGTAGCCAGTATTTTAAGGGCCACCATGTAAACAGTCACAATTTACTTCCAACGTGCTCAGGAAGCCAGGCCACGAGCATGCATATGTTTGGGGCTGTGTTGTCATTTTACCAGATGTTTGATTCCCTGTTGCCCTCTGAAGCCTAGTACTCAATAAGAAGGAAGAAAAGTGAATTTGATAGTGGACATTTCCCATTCTCCTGTATTTAAAATTCAGGAGGCAAATTGACATTTTAATTGCACCCAGATACAGGAAACTGAAGACATAAAGCATTCATTTTCCCCAGCTTGCAAGTTTGTCTTGGAAGCTTCTATATTTCACACAAAATATTGCTATTTGGCACATGAAATCTGATGGTTTCAGAAAAGAAGAATTAGGTGTTCCTTTGATCTCACTTATAAGTGCATCTGAACCACACCTTTACTGTGATAATGCTTTTCATTTCCCCGGAGCCTTGGCGTTACAACTCTCTAGCACCTTTGTGAGGAAGGGGCTTAAGACTCCCTGGAAAGGCAATAAGGGTCTTACTCCAGGGATCTCACATGACAGGGTGTAGAATGAACTCCCTCCCTCTCCCCCCACCCTACCCCCACTCTCCCACAGGACAATTTTCCTCCACATTCGACGTACTCCATATTTTTTTGAAATTAGAATAACCTTTTCTTGACCCTCATTTNTTAAACTCAGCCCCACGACTCTCCGGGCTTAGGAAATAGCTTAGAGTGAAGAATTGTTTTCTCTGAGAGTTATGCCCAAACTTTCCTGCTAAAGCAGACAGCCATCACTTAGTCTCTATAAATGACTGCGACTTTGGCAGGTGTCAGCTGGGACAGAAATGGCTCCCATGTTAAAACTTTTTTAAGCATAGAGCAAGGAGAGGGGACTAATAATAATGATGATAATCTCACATTGTCCACAGTCATGGCTTACCTGAAGTGACTTATTCGTATTTGGTTTCTTGGTGGCACGTGGTCCCCAAGCTTGGTGGCTGAGGCAGACACACTAGAAGGCCTTTCTTCAAAACGGCCAATGCCATGTATTCAGAATGACCGCGTACACAACATCCCCATGGGTCACCCACTGTCCTTGACACGGTGTCCTTCAGAAATGCCACTGGGTGCCCAAGGAATGTGAAGTTTCGAAATGGGTACAAAACCTGGAAGTCTCTCCTCCGTCACTTCTCTAGCCAGCTTTCTTTCTGAGGCAGTAGAATGCTCCAGGATCCTTTTTCCTGCCTTCTTCTTTCCTGACTCCTAACACCAGGTCTTAGGTCATTGTAGGCATGGAAAGAGCTGAATTGTTATGCTTCGAATGGCTTTGGAGTTGGGATTATTGGTTTTTCTGCACGAAAACTTTAGATTTTTCAGTCTGGTCACCCCAGGAAGCTGAGAATGTGTCACAAGGAGAAGAGGAGGGAGGAGCCAGGAAAGCTCCATCCAGAGACGCTGAATTACTTACTCCATGACTGCCTGAAATAGAATGTTCTAGAAAAAGACGTTTTCAGACTCCTGAGGGAAAGGGATGACAGGGGTTGTTCCGGGACCTGGCCTCACGGCCTTTTGCCCACAAGGCCAGTGCTTAAAATACTCCGCTGGTAAGAGGCCTCTCACATGTGTGCCGGGCCTGCGTGACTCAGGCTGTTTGTGTTCATGTTGAGTGTTGTGGCTGCAGAGCTGAAGCAGAGTCCAGATTTGCCTTGGTGACACATGAAAAGAGGGAGCGTTGCATTTGAGCTGCACAAATATTATGCTTAAGTATTTTTCCTTATTTTGGAGCCAAGCAAGTCTTGTTCATGATAAAATCGCAGCAATATAGTGGGTCCTTTTACTGGTCTGGAATTTGAGACAGTGTCAACTGTGCCAAGGGGGCTGGCAGCAGGAAGAAGTGGCAAGCCATGGAGATTTGGAGCCATAATGCAAGTTATAAAATTTAATGTTATAATTGTAGCAATTGGGAGCCGGGCTAAAATGTCCTTCTGCCACCCTGTCTCCTACCCCGGGCTGCGGGGAGTGAAATCAAGGGACCTTCTTTCTAACTGAGGGTTGGGCCAGGGCATGTGAAGGAGAGCCTGACTGGCAACAAGCAGGCTGCTTCTCCAATCTTGTTTTGAAGCCACTTGACAATCGGGGGGAGGGGAGCTTGTTATGAAATCGGTCAATGACTCTTTATTCAAACCGCGGGGTGAGGAAGCAACTCTGAGGGCATCCATCCTTGGCTGTGTCAGTACCTCAGGGCATCGAGTCTGCTTGACAGGCCTGAGTCTCTCATTTAAAGACATTTTGATGGGGGATGAAGGGGGGACACAGGAGGTCCCAACCCTCATGGCCTGTCCCATGTGAGTGGCCTCTGCTCCCTGCATCCTGGTGACAGCGATTTTGATGAGGAGCAAGGCAAAGACACTTACTGTCTCTACAGACACTGAGGGGCCCACCCACCCACCTTGGATTCCTGAGGCCCCTGAGGAAGCTCATCTAGTCTGCTGGTGGCGTCCTCTGGGCTCCGGTGGCCTGGCCAGCTGGGAATACTGGATGAGGCCCAGGCTACACCTTCCTGTCAATTCCCTCTTAGGAGGTGCGCCTGGGAAAGTCGGCTTCAGGGAAGAAAGAATTCTGGTGAAAAGCTTGAGAGGAAAGGGAGAGCCAGAGGGGCTGAGGGGCTGCCCAATGCCCTGCATTTAACAGGAAGTCTCGCCTTCCCAGGGGCTGTGGGTTTGCAGCCACACCTCATTTCCTGTTGGAAGGGGCATGCCCGCTGAGCTCCAGGGCCCACTTTGCAGCCTCTGAAACCTTCGGTGGTTGGGTTTGCAGTAGGGAGCGGCTGATCTGATGCCACCGGGAGGGCACCCCTCCTGGCTGCCATGTCTTAGCCCAGAGTGTGTGGCCAAGAGCCAACAATTAATGCACCTCCTTCCCCTCCCGCCATCACTGCCCCCGCCAAGTCCTGTATGCCCACTGCCTTCTGCCCAGTGGAGATGGGTTCGGAGGCTTGGGGTGGGTATGGAGGCCAGACTGGGGGAGCACCCACTGGCCCGTGTGACAAAAGGGGCCCCAGTCTGCTCTGGGGACAATGCCCCCAAATTCCCAAATTCCCACTGGGAGCCAACCCAATGTGCACATCTCCAGCAAACCCACGTTGGGGGTGAGGGGAGAGGGAGGGGAAGGACAAGAGAACCCCGAATTTTAGCATGTCCACAGTACATTTTCTGATCTCTTCCCTCCTTCCCTCCCCGCCTCCCCACAATAGGACATCGCCAGAAACTAGATGATCAGACCAAGTCTGGGAGCTTGTCCTTTTCCGAGCGGCTCAGTGAACTGGAGCAGCTGCGTCGCACGGCCATGAGGGTCAGCCCACACCACCCAGCCCCCACACCTAACCCTCGGGCTTCCTTGAACCACTCCACTGCCTTTAACCCTCAGCCTCAGAGTCAGATGCAGGGTAAGTACCTGGATGGAGCCCACTTCTGCCTCGCCCTCGGGCACAACTCCCCCATGCCAATCCTCGCTTCTCTACGCTCAAAGAGTGGTCCTCTGTGCTCAAAGGGGAGCTTGTTAGACACACAGTCTCAGGCAGCCCCAGACCTGCGGAGTTAGCTCTGCATTGTCACCGATCAAGAGGGGCTGCTACACAGGATAGGTATGTGTAGGTACTATCTTGAGTATTTTAAGGGCTAGCTTTGGCTATGCTATTTTCTTACCTACCCATTAGGCTTGAAGACAGACAGACAGCTAGGCGCACACACACACACCCCAAGGTGCAGGTCAGGATGTTTCAAGTTCTTATTGTCTTCAGATTATTTGTGGGGTTTGTATCTAATATCCATTGTTTTGAAAATAGAAAAGAAATAGTAGGAACGTCTGGATGCCATGGCAGCAGAGGTTACCCTCCCCCTCCCCCATGGGGCTAGCGGGCAATTGCAAAAAACAACACTGTAAAATGCAATGATTGCATAGAACCCACTGTGCCAAATTAGATAATACACATCGTTCATGTACACTATAGAAACACTGACGTCAATGAGTATTTGCTCTGTGATACCATTGCAAATTTCCGAAATGCACTGGTTTCCTTTGTGCCGTGCAGGACACAGCTGTATGTGATGTGGTCACAGTAAGATTCCTTTCTCAAAGTGCCAGCCTTGCTGAACTCAAAGGAAAAGATAAGCAACACATCTGGGGGAGAGGGCAGGTGGCCAGCAAGGGATGGGCTACTTGTCCCTCTAGGACAGCAGGAATTGCCCTGGGCATCTTCTCTGTGGGGTGTGTGTGGGATGTGCAAGCATTCTGAGTGCTTTAGGGTTGGGGCGGGGGCAATAGCTGGCTCTCGGGTTAGCGCCTGTGGGCCCTGGAAAGGCATGCCCGCTCTCCTGCACAGAGCCTGATTGATGGCCCCTGCCATCAGCTCTCAGTTATGTTTCTCGGGAAGGTTCTTCTATTTGAATGGAAAACTCCCATGGAAATCTTCCTGTGTGATGCTGTGAACACAGCTGTTGAGTGGCCTGTCTGTTGAGCACCCCTTTTGTGTACAACCAGAAACTGAAAGCTTAATGTTTGGAGGCTACCTCTCACCTACCATCTCAGGTGGATTTAGGAAGAAGTCCTATGAAGATCATCGGTTTCCTGGTACTTAACAATCATGAATATTTATTCAAAATATGCATATTGATTTTGTTTAAAGTGCAAGTGTGTATGGTAAATTAGATCCCATGGCATATTAAGCGAGAGAGATGGGTTTGGGGTGAAATAATAGTTTTCTTCTAAATAGAATAAAATTCTCGAGAAGGTTCCTTCATCTTATATTTAGGGCCATTTAAATTCATTCATGTCATCTTCGGGACCCCCATCGGTAACATCCAAGGGAAGACTGTTATTCTCTCATTGCATAACAGACCATGTATACTACTATGTTGATAAACAGATTTGCCTTTTTCTACTGACATTGCAACCAAAATGATTGGGTGGTCAGAAAAGTCACGACGCATTTTTGCAATGAAAAACACAGAAAAAATACGTCATGACTTTTTTAACAACCCAATAACAAGCATATTTAAAGGCAGTGGAAAATTCAGCCTCATGGGGGCAAGTTGAAATTGTCAGCATGAAGTCGGCTTTGTTTCAGACAGTTTGGGTGGGCAGTGAATCCGGTCTCGTTTCCCTCCTGGTCAGATATGCTCTTTTTACCAGAAAGAAAAACGGACAGGGGCGAGGTGGGGGTGAAGTCTTGTCCTCAGCGGTCAGCCATCTTGGGTGGAGGCGTCACGTGGACGCAGGGGTTGGGCATCCCTCAGCTCTTTGGGACGCTGTCTGCTCAGCGAGTATCAGGTTTAACAGGGAGCAGCACCCTTCTTGTTCCTTTTAAAAACTTTTTACTTCTGTAACATCTAAGCACTAATAACTTGCTTTTAGAGTACCCTAGGGGCTTAGCTGCTGCTCTAAAGAATGTGTTAACTATATTGCTGATGTTCTTTCTTTCCAAACTACGATTTGATATCCAGTGCTTCGCTTGTAAAACTCGAACAACTTTTTAAAAAATTACGTGTCCAAGATATTTTCATGTAAAATGACTTTTCCTTTATCTTTCTAGTTTTTTTTTCTCCCTATAAGAAAATGCTTTTTTACCCTAGTTGATGAGTAGACCCTTGGGAGTTTTTGCCCCTGAAATTACACAGTTAACAGGGATAATAGTAAAGTCTCTTTGAGTCAGGACCTTCATTTTGCTCTTGACAGGTAGGAAAACGGTTGTTTTCAGGCTTTGCTCTCGAGCTTCCAGAATACGTCAAGAAGGTGCTCTACATAAAAATTCAGCTCATGTGTGTGGCTCTTCCTGCAATGGCAGCAGTTGTAAGGAAAATCTCCTAGAGGTAGTCAGAGCCGTGCTGTGCAGATGTGTAAACGTTTTCAGCTTTGCGGACATGTCAGCTAGTGGGGGCTCGAGAGACCATGGGGTCGTTAGGGGGGCTGAGCCGCCCTGTCTTGCTGGGACCTCGCTGGGAGAGATATACTTATCACTCTATCTGTATGGGTAGGAAATCACAGATATATAATAACGCCTCTGTTTATCTAGAATCAGAGGTGCTTGAGAATCACTCAAAATAGACATCTCAAATTATCTGAAGCCGGGTACAGATGGAAAACGGGGGCAGGTTGCCATGCCTCCAAACCACTGTTTATGTGTTGAGGTTTTAACTATAAAAGGGCTGAGGTTAATTTCCACTTCCTATTTTACCAGGTCTTAAAATTAAAAAGAAAGCCATCTTGTCACTTTGGCTACACCCATAGGCAAGTCAAGACATCATCGTGCACTTCTACGGCCGAGTTTTAGAATTCTTTTGCAGTCATGGGTGGAAAAAGGACATGTGTCCTTTAAAAACATGAAATGGGGCAGATTCTAGAAAGATAAGGCACTGATGTCAATTCAGCCACACCTCCTCCCCGCTTAGAGAAGGCTTCAGGCAGCAGAGCCAGTGACTTTAAGATTTGACTCCTGGTTTCCCAAACATGATGGGCCATGTTTAAAGCTGCATAATCCCATCCTTCCTGGGAAGATGGTGATGGAGTGATCTCTGCTGGTGCAGAAAACCATCACAGCCAGAGAAACAGAGGCCAGTTTTGTTGTTCTTGTGTGTGTTGCCTGAAACAGCAAGGTGTGAGGTTTAACTCTTGAATTTGACCAGTTTTGATATATGTGGGCATGTGTCAGACTTTTGTACATTTTATTTCCTTCTCGCCACAATCCTGTGGTATGGTTTATAGACAGAGCAAGTGAACCTCGGAGGTTCACTTGTCCAGTGTTTCCAAGACCGTTAAGTGAGAGACCTGGGCTTACACCCAGACCGTTCTGGCTACAAAGCCGGTGCTGACGGGGTGGCAGTTTCTCCTGGGCGCGCACACTTGGATCAGGAATCGATTAGACACAGGGCTGACCAGTGTCAAGAAGAATTCCAGTTGCCCGCGGGGAGATGGGAGAAGTGCTGGGCTGGTCCTTCGTTTGGCAGTCCTATTTGGTTGTGTTCTCTTGTCACGGGATGTTGATGATAATAATAATAACTTTATGACCAGGCTGTCTGGTGGGCACCTTAATAAACTGTCCCCTTTTGGGACAATGTCAAATATGGGGAGAAAAGAAAACTTAACTGATAAAACTGAGTCTCTAAGCAGGAGTGAACGCAGGCTGAGTGGGAAGCGAGGCGGCTCCCCAAACACTCTTTGCTTAGTGTTTTGGGGCAACAGCCTGGCCTTCTCACATTAAGAGCTTCTCTTGTGGGATCTGTTGGAACCAAAGCCTTCTTCACATCCAAACCCAGGCAACATCTGATCAGCCTTTAGGCATGTGGGTGCTTCTCTTTGAGAGTTCCATATGGCCAGGGGGTACCCCGACTGCTCAGATCATCTCCTGATATTTAGTATCCAAGTAATTTTTGTTTTAATAGAGATTTCTCCCAAAAGTTAAAGTTACTTTGGAAAGACCACATTCTTTGGGAAGCTTTTTGAGGCACCTGATGGACTTGGTGTCTCAGCTGTACAGGGTTGCGTATATCAATCTGTATCAGCTGGATTGACAAAGGAAGAAAAGCTTCCTGCTTTCCTGTAGGAGGAGATAAACCCCCTCTCCAGCCTTGGGGGAAAAATCAAACTGCATAGCAACCCAACT